CACTCCCCCCCAGGACCCCCCCGTCCCCCCCACCTGACGAAGGAGTAGCCTTTGTCCGGGAACACGCGGATCTCCATGATCTGCCCGAAGGGGGAGAAGGTCTGGCGCATCAGCTGCTCTGGAGCAGGAAGGACAGACAGACAGACAGGCAGACAGCAGCTGAGGCACCCGCGGCGGCAGGGCGCGGCCGGCGGGGCGGGGCACACGTACCTGAGAGGCCCGAGGTGACGCCCCCGCAGTACACGGTGCAGTTGCTGGGGCTGGACTGCGTGACCACCTCGTCGTAGGACAGCTGCTTGGTGCTGCCTGCAAGAGATTGCACCGGGGCTCCCAGAGGGCTGCCACGGCACCTGGGGGGATTCCAGTCCTGGGTCGCTGGGAACGACCTGCAGATCTTTACAGGGACACCTCAGAGCCCCTCCAGGGCCTGCAGGGGCTCCAGGAGAGCTGGGGAGGGACTGGGGACAGGGGATGGAGGGACAGGACACAGGGAGTGGTTTTTTTCAAGCTGGGAAAAGGGAGATTTACCCAGGATTTTGGGAAGGAACGAGGGTGGGGAGGGGCTGGGATGGAATTCCCAGAGCAGCTGTGCCTGCTCCACCCCTGCTGGTGTCCAAGGCCAGGCTGGGAGCACCCTGGGACTGGGGAAGGTGTCCCTGTCCGAGGCAGGGTGGGGTGGGACGGGCTCTGAGGTCCTTCCCACCCCAAAAACTCTGGGATCCCCCACCCCAGGGGCTGGCAGGGCACAGGGTGGGCACCTACTCTCATAGGTGCTCTTGGGAGCTGGAGGTTTCCTGGTGGCCCAGTTGGTCCTGATCTGCCGGCCCCCCAGCCACTGCCCCCCCATCTGCTGGATGGCGTTCTCGGCGTCCTGCAGGGGACACAGGGAGACAAAAACCCCACTGACCCCAGTGCCTTCCTGAGTGACCCTGGAGTGTCCCAGGATGGGGCCTGGAGCACCCCCTGCTGGCACCCCTCCTGTGGGACAGGGCCACGGGGGTGACCCCACTGCCCTCCAGAGTGACCCTGGAGTGTCCCAAACCCCTCCTGTGGGACAGGGCCACATGAGTGACCCCAGTGCCCTCCTGAGTGACCCTAGAGTGTCCCAGGATGGGGCCTGGAGCACCCTGGTCCCTTCCCATTGTTGGGGTTTTACCCATTTATTAAGAGGGAAAGGAAGGGATTTTCCCCATTTACTGAAGAGGGAAACGAAGGGATCTCACCCATTTTTGAGGAAGGAAATAAAGATTTTTCACCCATTTATTAAGAGGAAAATGAAGGGACTTTACCCATTTACCGAGGGAGGAAATGAAGGGATTTTCCCCATGTACTAAGAAGGCAATAAGGGTTTTTATCCATTTCTGAGGAAGGAAACAGATCTCTCACCCATTTGTTGAAGAAGGAGACGAAGCCGTAGCCCTTGGACTTGCCCGTGGCCATGTCCTTGACCACCCGTGCGTCCCTAAAGCACAAAGGGAACTTTTAAATTCTCATTTATTTGCCAACATATTCTACTGCTTGTTGCAAATGCTCCATAGAAATTAATGAAAAATACAAACAAAAATGAAAAAGTAGGAATTGAAAGGCATATGTTGCCTGTTAACTGAATTTAATTCTCAGGTCAGTTTGTTACCCCCTTGCTGGGCTGAGGGCAGCTGTAAATTGGGAGAGATTGAAATTTCAGATGATTGGATTGGGCCAGGCTGGCAGAGCCACCTCCCTGGGAATGTCCCTGCCTGGCTGGGACAGCTCAGCTCCCTGTCCCAAAGGGGCTGGATAAACGTGAGGGGCCTCAGGACAAGGTGGGGCTGCCCCAGGGTGCTCCAAAAAAGGCTCATTTTGAGGGAAATGAACTCCACAAAAAGGGGGGCTGGCCCCAAAAACGCAGAAGTGAGAGCAGAGTGTGCTCCCTGCAGTGCCACAGCGTCACCCACTCGACAGAGCTGCCACCACTCAGGACAGAGACCCCAAAAAGCACTCACGAGATCCTTCCAAAGGGAGCAAAGGCTGCTTTGATGTCTTCAGTTGTGATCTCGGGGCTGAGGTCTCCCACAAAGACGTGGAAATGGTCTTTGGGGGAAAAGAGAAAGGAGGGTTCAGTGGTTGAAGATGAGCAGAGTGGTTTCCTCTGAGCAGAGGGAAAAAACTCTTCTTAAAAACCCCTTTATTAAAACTCCAGCTGTTATTCAAAATACATGATTAAAAAGCACAAGAAATTGTATTAAATACCACAGAAATCCATACTGGATGCTACAGGGAGAGCAGAATTCTGCTGTTCCTGAAGGGAGAGCAGAATCCTGCTGCTCCTGACAGCCCCTGTGCTTGGCAGTGCCACAAGGCAGTGATTTGAAGGACACACATCTGTATCTCCAATTTTTTAAGGTTTTTAAGGCCTGCCAGCACCTACTGCACAAATCTGAGACTATTTACACCTCACGTGCCCCGTGCCCAGGAGAATCCCTCTCTCCCTGTGCCAGCACTGGGATGGGATCAGCAGCAGTGCTGTGGGATCCTGGGGTGGTTTGGGTGGGAAGGGGGTGAAACCCACCCCGTGCCAGCCCTGCCACCACCCAGGGTGCCCCAAGCCCAGCTGGGACAGTGCCAGGGCTGGGAGAACGAGGACTGGGGGGTCAGGATGGAAAGGGATCCCCTCCTGATGAGAAACAGGCACAAAAGGCCTCAACTGAGGAGTTTTCCACCTCAGTCCAAGTGTGTGACACAGACTGAGCTGTGCCACAAACTCTCAATGGGGTTTAGCCCCACCAGCCTAAAATTCCAAGGATTTCCCCACAGAAATTGCTGGGAGTGATGGAACCCTTCTGGATGCTCTTGAGGGAGATGCTCAACATGCCTCAAAAATACAGAATGAGGCATTTGGGGTTTTAATTGCCAACTGCCCAGGCAGCAAATAGTCACAGATTTGCACCAAATCCCTTCCTGATGCTACAGGGAAAGGGAAGGGAATTTTATGGAATTTTTTCCATAAAAATTCAATGGAAAACAAACAAAAAACCCCAAACTTAGCTTCAAGGCACACCCTGGAGATCCACAATTTGATGTTTAAGAAGACACAATTACCTTGTGAACGCTGTGTGATGGCAAAGATCAGATTTGCCCTGAAGTTTAATTAACACAAACACAATAAACAATTAGGATTCCAATCAAAACCATTCCCACAGAGCTCTGTGTGCTGCATTTCTCTTTCACAACTTGCACAGGTGACACTTACTGCTGGTGTCTTTCTTCTGGCTGCTGGGGGTGGTGGCCCAGTTCACTTTGACCTCCTGCAAATGGCAACCACACATCAGGTTTGGCAAATCCCAAAAGCTCAGACACCTGCAGTGCTCAAATCTGACCCCACAGGGCAAGGTTGGGGTTAAAACTCAAGTTTAAGACACTTTTCTAGGGAGAGGGTTTGTTCTTAATTAACAGGGCTAGATTAACTGCTCTGGGGGGTCTCCAGGGAGAGCTTCCAGCACATTCCAGGGCCTGCAGGGACTCCAGGAGAGCTGGGGAGGGACTGGGGACAGGGGATGGAGGGACAGGACACAGGGAATAGGAAAACTTTTCACAGGGGGATTGTGAAGAGGATGGGGACACTCTGATCAGGGGTGCCCAGTGACAGGGCAGGGACTGAAACATGGGAAATTCTGAGGAATATGAGGAAAAGGAAATGAATATGAGGAAAAGAAGGAAAATATGAAGGAAAATATGAAGGAAAACTTTCCTTTGAGGCCTGGAACAGGGATGGGACGTTCTACCTGAATATGAGGAAAAGAAGGAAAATATGAAGGAAAACTTTCCTTTGAGGCCTGGAACAGGCTGTGGAAGCTCCTTCTCAGCAGGCATCAAAACCCTGCCTGGACACTCCCCTGTGCCCTGCTCTGAAGGAGCTCTGGCACGGGACCATGTCCAGAGGGGCCTTCCAAGCCCCCCCTCTGGAGCTGTGTGATTCTCCTCCCAGCCCCACATCCCCAGCTCCTCCCAACGCCCTGAACTCCTCCAAAACCCTGAATTATCCCTCCCAAACCTCTGAACTCCCCCCAACACCCTGAATTTCTACTCCCAACACTGAACTTCTACTACCAACACCCTGAACTCCTCCAAATACCCTGAACTCCTTCCAACACTGTGAACTCCTCCATGACCCTGAACTCCTCCTCACCACACCCAGAACTCCCTCAAACACCCTGAGCTCCTCCTCCCAACACCCTGAGCTCCTCCCAATGTTCCTCCTCCTCCTCCCAACACCCTGAACTCCTGTTCTGAGCTGTGTCCCGCTGAGATCTCCGCCCCAAAGGCACAGTCCCCCATTTGCAGCACGTGCAGCATTCCCCTGGTGCCCCCTGGCACAGCCTGTGCCCTCCTCTCCAGCAGCATTCCCCCGGTGCCCCCTGGCACAGCCTGTGCCCCAGACTCACCCAGCAGGGCAGCTTACCTTACCCATTATCTTCCTGCCGTTCATGGCAGCCAGCGCCGCGGCCGCGTGCCGGTGCTCGTAGAACTCCACGAAGCAGTAGGGGTCATTGCCAGCTGTCTGAGACAGGACAGCAGCTGGGATGGGGACAGCAGCTGGGACTGGGGACACTGAGCTGGGATGGGGACAGCAGCTGGGATTGGGGACAGCAGCTGGGACTGGGGACACTGAGCTGGGATGGGGACACTGAGCTGGGATTGGGGAATCAAACCCAGGATTAGGGACACAAAGCCAGGACTAGGGACACAAAGCCAGGCTCTGGCTGCTGACACCTCAACAGCCCCACCTGGACAGTCCCTACAGGGACTAACAACACTCCCAGAGCTTTTCACTCTCCCTTAGAAAGGGAAAATTACGGCAAAGAATGGTAAAGAATTGGTGAGAATGGTAAAGAATGGTACAGAATTTTTAAAGCCTGTTTGCAATCCCCTCCTGCCTTAATGAGCTCACTGTCCCTCTCCATGCCCACCCATCTTTAAATTCAGCAGCAGGCACATGCAGAATGATGCCAAAGCCACCTCCAGGTTTATTTCAGGTGGCTGTGCCCCGTTCCCAGGGGAATTCCCAGAGCCACGGGCACAGCCTGGAGGCAGCAGCTGAGGAGGAGCAGGGAAAGCAGAGGACTCAGGCTCTTACATCCATGATCATCTTGCAGTTCTTGCAGGGTCCGATTTGGCTGAAGAGCTGCAGGATCAGAGCCTCGGTCACGTCCCGGGAGAGGTTCCCCACGTACCTGGGGGACAAACACGGGCATGGACACAGTGTGGGACACACTGGAGGTTCCCCACGTGCCTGAGGGACAAACACGGGCATGGACACGGGTGTGGGACACACTGGAGGTTCCCCATGTGCCTGAGGGACAAACACAGCCATGGACACGGGTGTGGGACACACTGGAGGTTCCCCACGTACCTGGGGGACAAACACGGGCATGGACACGGGTGTGGGACACACTGGAGCCTGCAGAGGGGCCTGGGACCAGGGGTGAAGGGATGGGGAAAGGGGGAATGGCTCCCCACTGCCGGAGGGCTGGGAGAGAGGGGATGTTGGGATGGAATTCCCAGAGCAGCTGTGTCCATCCCTGATTCCTGGGAATGTCCACAGCCAGGCTGGACAGGGCCTGGAGCACCCTGGGACAGGGGGAGGTGTCCCTGCCATGGCAGGGGTGGCACTGAGGGGTTTCACGTCCCTTCCCACCCAAACCATTCCAGGGTTCCATGGCGCCATGAATTTGACCTTCCAAACTGATTTCCCAGTACAGAAACTCCAGTTCCCATCTCCCTACACTGATCTCTCAGTACAGAAACTCCAGCTCCCATATCCCTACACCAATTTCCCAGTACAGAAACTCCAGCTCCCATCTCCCTGCACTGATTTCCCAGTACAGAAACTCCAGCTCCCATCTCCCTGCACTGATTTCCCAGTACAGAAACTCCAGTTCCCATCTCCCTATACAGACTGATCTCTCAGTACAGAAATCCCAGTTCCCATCTCCCTACACTGATTTCCCAGTACAGAAATCCCAGTTTCCATCTCCCTACACTGATTTCCCAGTACAGAAACTCCAGTTTCCATGTTCCTGTTATGATTTCCCAGTACAGAGATCCCAGCTCGCACACCCCTGCCCCTCATCCCTGCCCCAGCAGCACTGGCTGCTCTTTGCCCACGTTCCCCACAACATTTTGCTGGTTCCTTTAGAAGCCCTCAGGTTTTGGGAGCCCAGATGTGCCTGGAACAGCCGAGTGCCAACGTGCCCGAGGGCACACGCTGGGGCAGGGACCAGCCTCCCCAGCACAACCCAGCCCAAACCCCACTCCCCCTGGGACTGTGGCTCCTTGGCCACCACGGGTGGCTGGTTCTGTTGTTTTTGTTGAGCCCAAGTCATGGGATTTAATGAAAACCTCAGGTGCAGCCACAGCCCCTGCACAGGAATGCTCGTGGGAAACCTGGGGATGCTGGGCTCATGCCAGCCCTGGCAGCACCCTGGTGCACCTGCAGTGCCCCCAGAGGGGCAAAGGGGCTGCCAGAAACAGCAGCAAATGCAAGCTCTGCCTGTGCTCCAAGCTCTGCCTGTGGGGGAAGCAGTCACAGTTTTGTCAGGCATGGCCCATCCAGGAGCTCGGTGCTAATTATTAAAACAACTTTTAGGCAGGAGGTAGGATTGGGTTTTAAAATCAGCAGACAGAACTGTGAGGCTCCTGCACTGCTGCAAAGTTTCCTCACGGCCACGGGGCAGGAGGAAAAGGCAAAACCAGGGAGCTCCTTCCTGCAGTCTGCTCCAGAAAAACAACTGCAACGTGTTAAGGAAGGAAAGGACAGGGTGCAGGGGGCTTTGGGGGCCACACAGCTCAGGAGCCCCAAAACCCACACCCAGGGAGCAGAAACCCTACAGAAACCCCGTGTGAGCACAGACTGAACACCCACTAACCCCAGCTGCACTTTCTGCTCCTTCTGAACCCAAGCTGGTGACAATTCCCTGCATGGCCCCAGAGGCACGGGGAGGGGCACAGAAACCCCAGCCTGGCTGCTGCTGTGCTTTAAGGCAGGGCTCGGGGTCCCTGCAGCTCCTGTCCAGCCTCACCGACGCCCTGCACGTGCTCCAGGACAGGGATCTGCATTCCCCAGGCCACCAGGCCCCCCTCAGGAGCCTTGGGATGGGGGAAAACATCTTGCCAAATAAAGACACCGACGCTCCGTGTTTGCAGAGGCCAGGAATAGCTCCCAAAACGTGGGAAAACAGCGGGCTGGGGAGGCAGGGAGTGCCCAGTGCTCGGGACAGCAGGGCTGAGGCACGTCGGGGTCTTGTCCTGTGGTCACTCAGCCCCTGGGGAGGGGCAGCACAACAACACCGCCTCACCTTGGGATGGTTCCCTCCCTCCCTCCTGTCCTGCCTGCTGCACAACGCTTCCAGGGGTGGGATGGCAAGAGAGGAGCCTGATCTCCCTGCTCCAGACACGGGAAAGCCACTCCAGGTAACACCTGCCTGGCAGGAGGAGGGAAACACAGCCTGGTGTGCACAGCAGCTGTGCACAACAGTCAGGCTCTGCAGCACCTCCTGCTAAAATCCAACCGAAGCCTCCCCCTGGCGTGGCTTCCTAATTCCCAACTCACTCTGTGGGAAGCAACAGGTTCAGAGAGTGCTTTGAACACTTTGGATCATGGGCAGGACAGTGGGGCTCCAGCTGTGTGCCCAGGCAGCCCCCGGGGCAAAACCCTACAGGGATCACCCAGAATGACACAGAACGGTTTGGGGAGGGAGGGACTCGGATCATCCCGGCTCAGTGCCCTGCCACGGGCTGGCATGGGGGCACACACACCTTCCAGAGCCCCGTTCCCTGCAGATGTGAGCGTGGATGTACCAGGGAGGGGGGACACCTTCCACACTGCCTTCCCTCCGGATGTGGCCTGGCACGGACTGAGGAGAGGGGCACACACCTTGCAGACCCCCTTTCTATCCAGGAGAAGGGGGGACACACCTTCCTGACCACTTTTCCCTCCGGATGTGACCTGGCACGGACTGGGAAGGGGCACACACCTTGCAGACCCCTCTTCTCTCCAGATGTGACTTGGGACGTACTGGGGAAGGGACACAGCGCTTGCACACAGCCCTGTCCCTCCAGATGTGCGCTGGAGGCCCGGGGGAACGCCCGGAGCGGAGGGCAGGCCGGCGGTGCCCAGCACTGGGGCCGGGCAAAGGGCAGGAATACCGCGGGAGCCGGGCTGCCCCTCAGCCCCGGCTCCCGCAGCGCTGCGGGCGGCTGAGGGTGCGCGGCGGAGCCCTGAGGGGCCCGCCCGTGAGGCGACCCCGGGCCGCCCCTCCCCGCCGAGCCGGGAACAATAGGCGGTCTCGCCCCCTCCCCACTCACAGGGTCTTGGGCATTTCATCCTCCATGGCGCCGCCGCCGCCCGCCCCGGCTCTTCCCGCCCGCCGTGGCGGCCCCGTGCGGCCTGGGCAGCCCGGGCAGCCCGAGCGGCGCC